AGTTCAGAGGCAGTTTTTTCCAAACAGAGCAATTCAGTGAGAAGTGTAGAAAAGCCAGTTTGAACCAATCAGCTTGGAGAGGAGTATTGAGCTGAGTTGAACCAGCCAGCCAGAGTTCAGTAAGAGCTATAAAGGGTGAAGTTATTCAGCAGTGACCATCAGAGGCTGAAAACATCCTAGGTCTAGATTAGCAGACAGAGGCTTGAGGCTGAAGCATTCAAGGGCCAGGCTTGCAGAAGATTAGATTATACGGAGGCTAGACACTTCCAGGCCTAGGCTTAGGGACAGTTCAATGGAAACACTCTGGGCTCAGCCCTTGCCAGGTATTCATAAGGCTTGGGTTTGGCTCTCATCTCATCCCCCCATCTGAGGAAAGAGAAACATTTACTGGTGTGGGAGGGGCAGGCATCTTCAAATTAAGAGCTCAGTGGTAGGGAGCTTCCCTAGCATGTCTGAGCCATAGTTTAAGCACCACGGAGGTGGGGGTGTCTAGGGATGAAGGCTCAGTGGGGAAAGTGCTTACTGTGCAAACATGAGGACCTGAGTAGGTACCCCCCAAGTTCACGTAAACAAAGCTAGTCTTGGTTGTGTGCACCTGTTTCAGAACTTAGTTCAGGAGCAGAATGGTGTAAGGGGAGCTCTGAGTGCTTGGGAGAACACTCCAAGAAAACAAGACAAGAGCTGAGACTTGTGGCCTCAGTTTCTTCCAAAACTGGTTCTTGGAATGTGTTTCCATGTAGTGGATAGGAGTGAGTTCACTTTAGATTCCTCACGATTGCTTGTTTTTGTTACCCAAATGCTTATGCCTCTATGGGAAAACATGATTTTCTTTTTTTTTTTCTTTTTCTTTTTTTTTTTTTGCCACACGTGGTTTGTTCTTGGGTGTACACAGCTTGAATTCATGCAAACTTTACTCATGTGACATTTTTTTAAATCCTCAGAGTATAAATTGTCTGATGCTCTGAATAAAGTTGGCTATTGCATTAGCCTTTAGTCTGCCTCATTTATCTGCTCCACTTCCCCACCTCCTCTGGAGCAGTGACATCCCTGTAACCTCAGTCCTCGGAGGTTGCAGCAAGGAGATCCTGAAGCTTGTATGTCAGCCAGTCTAGCTAAAATGGCGAGCTTCAGGTATAGTGAGAAACCCTGACTCACAAAACAAAACCAGGTGGAGAAAGTGGTTGAAGAGACATCCCAACATCATCCTCTGGTCTCCACAGGAACTTGCATGGACACACGTGCACACACACACACACACACACACACACACACACACACACACGGAATTACATGGGCTTTAAAATTATGTTAAGAATGAGCTTCCAGCAGCTGGTTGTGGTGGCGGATGGATGCCTAAAATCCCAGCACTTGGGGAGGCAGAGGCAGTGGATCTCTGTGAGTTTGAAGCCAGTCTGGTCTACAAAATGAGGTCCAAGACGACTAGGGCTACACAGAAACCTTGTTTCAAAAAACCAAAACCAAACTAAACAAACAAACAAACAAACGAACAAACAAAAATGAGCTTTTTGCTTTCTGGCCAAGCAAAGGTGCAGGCTCAGCCAGAAACTCACCTGGCACTGGGGAGGGAGCATGGTGCCAGCAGTACCCAGGAATTGCTGCAGCTGGTCCCCTTCCAGCTCCCTCCGAAGGCCTCTGGAACTTTATTCTGTGGCCAGGTAGGAGCCAGAAGCTCCATGAATAAGTGTATGCACTAGAAGTGAAAGATTGGTAGATTAACGTAGCCTTTAAAAATATTTTATAGCTAGGCTTGGTGGCGCACGCCTTTAATCCCAGAACTCTGGGAGGCAGAGGCAGGTGGATTTCTGTGAATTCAAGGCCAGCCTGGTCTGCATGGTGAGTTCCAGGACAGCCAGGGCTGTGGAGAGAGACCTTGTCTCAAAAAAACAAAACAACAACAAATTCTCATATCCGTAGATTTTGAAGGTTAAGACAAATATAAATACATATCTGCCTGCTGGGTTTTCTTAACAGTTTTATTTTTATGTATGTGTGGGCACATGCTCACATGCAGATTGCTAGGTGGCCAGAAGGGGGAAGCAAATCACTAGTTACAGGTGGGTGTGAGAGACCCAATCTCGGTTCAAGGATCAACTCAGGCTCTCTGAGGGAACAGCAAAAGCTCCTGACTCCGCAGAGCCATCTTTCCAGCCCTCTGCTGGACTTGTTTGTTTGTCTGTTTGTTTGTTTTAAATTACCTTATTTAGCCATTGTGTATGGAGGAGTGTGTGCCAAAGTAGAGCCAAAGGACAGCTGTGGGAGTCCGTTCTCTTCTTGTACCGCGTGAATCCCAGGAATCAAGCGCAGGTCACCCTTTCTACTGAGTCATCTTGCCAGCCCCTTCCCACTGGCTCTGACAGTTGTTTAAGAACAGATGTCTTTTCGTAATCTATCTAATAAAATAATAAAGCATTAAAAACAAACAACAAGCTGGGCGGTGGTGGCACACAGCTTTAATCCCAGCACTCGGGAGGCTGAGGGAGGGGGATCTCTGTGAGTTCGAGGCCAGCCTGGTCTACACAGTAGTTCAGGACAGCCGGTGATACTTAAGGGCTTTGTCATGTGGATATTTTGCTGCTGGAGTTGATTGCTCAGAACGCTTTTTGTAGAGCTTCAATATGACCTATTTTACTTCTGCTGCCTTGATGACATTCCTTGACAAGCCTGAGGCCACCTGTCGTGTCTCAGGCTCCCAGAACACAGGTTATTGACAGTAACGGGATGATCTCACTATCTCTTAAGGTGAGCCAGCGGTCCTCTCAGAGGATGAGCACGGAAGGATGACTTTGTGCAGAGACGCAGTTGCAACCTGTTTCCCCTTGAATGGGACTTTCCTGTTGCTTGCTGTGCTGTAAATTTTTTTTTTTTAATTTTATGCTCAAGGGCAACTACAAAATATTTAAGTTGTGTGTGTGTGTGTGTGTGTGTGTGTGTTTATACATATGAGTGCAGTGTCTGTGGAGGCCAGAAGGGGGTGTCACAGCCCTGGAGCTGGAGTTACAGGGGCTTGTGAGCCACCTGACATGGATGCTTGGGAACCAAACTCAGGTCATCTGCAAGAGCGAAGATGCCTGTTATCTGTGGAGTCATCTCCTCAGTCCCCTCCCCCCCTTAACTGCTTAATAGAGACAAATTAGTGTGGTAGATGTTGGTTTTTACTTTTGTTTGTTTGTTTTTGGTTTTTGAGACAGGGTTTCTCTGTGTAGCCTTGACTGTCCTGGACTTGCTATGTAGACCAGGCTGGCCTCAGAGATCCACCTGCCTCTGCCTCCCTGAGTGCTGGGATCACAGGCGTGCGCCATCGCGCCTGGTATCTGTCTGTCTGTCTGTTTTTGAAACGGGGTCTCACTATGTACCTCTGACTAGCCTGGAACTCACTATATAGACCAGGCTGGTCCATTTGGGGGCGGTATACCGTGGGAACGGGCAGTGTGTAGGAAGAAGACACTGCTCAGTAAGCTCCACAGCCCTCTAATCTCAGCCTCTGGAGCCACAGCATTGGCTCACACAGTCATTATCAACGACAAGGTGGCTACTGAAGTTATTGTAGTCGATGAATTCAAATTTGGATATGTGTTTTTTTTGTTTAGTTTGGTTTGGTTTTCCTTTGGGGGTATAGCTCTAAGGTATTTGGATATAGGAAATGTGCTATTTTTTACAGTCTTGATCTTCATGGTGGATTGTAAAGCATGAATTTGGGGACTGGGGACACAACTCAGTGGAAGAGAGCAATTACTGCTCTTGCAGAGAACTTCACCTGCTATTCCTCCTACACAGGCTCAGTCTGCTTTTCCAGTATCACCCAGGATATAGCCCTCTCAGGCTCGCTATGAGATATACACACATATATAGAATTTTTAATGATTTATTCATTTTTATTGTGTTTTATTTTTATTTATGTTCGTTTGTGTTTTACCTCTATGTCTGTGTGAGGGTGATAATCGTGAGCTGCCATGAGGGTGCTGGGAATTGAATCTGGGTCCTTTGGAAGAGCAGCCAATTGCTGAGCCATTTCTCCGGCTCCTCCAGGTTATATTTTTAAGCCATGCTGCCACCAGAAAAACTACGTTTTTCAACTGATGGCTCACAATCACCTGTAACTCCAGTTCCCAGGGTTCCTGAGGCCTCCTCAGGCAGTAGGCACTCACGTGCGCCCCCCCCCCCACGCCTTCAAGAGAATACTCATACATGGAAAAAATTAATCTTAAAAAAAAAAAAAAGCCATATATGGTCCAGGCAGTGACGGCAAGTGCCTTTGATCCTACAGAGGCAGGTGGGTCTCTGATTTGGAGGCCAGCCTGGGTTACAGAGTGAGTTCAGGATGGTCAGGGCTACACAGAGATAACGCTGTCTCCAACAAACAAAACAAGACAAAACAACCAAAAACCAAAAAGAAAGAAAGGAAAAACCAACACCACCACCAACAACAAAAACCCCATATGTGGCCACCAGTTGCTGCAGCCTAGCATTTGGGGGGGGCAGAGACAGGTGGAACCCAGGAGCTTTCTGGTCAGTCAGGGTTGACTAGACAATGCCATATCTAAAAATCAGGGAGAAAATGACAGGAGAAGCCGCGCAGGGTCGTTCTCCAGGCGCACCACGTACACTGAAAGTAACTGTGAGATTTCAGAGGTGCCGATTGCTTGATTACATTGCTTACAGACGTCAAGGATTGGGTTATGACAAGGCTATTGAGGGGAAGGCTGCCCCCTGAAACAGAACTTGGAATGAATATTTTGCGTCCCTTTGAAAAAAAAAAAAAAAAGAAATAGTTTCCCAAACAAAAGCCTCCCTGCCTACAATAATTGTGTGGCCCCCGTGTCTCATCCCCCCCCCCCCCCCGGGGGGGGGGCAGGCTTTTGTTTTCTAAGCCGCTTTCCTGCCTTTTGTGCTTCCCGAGCAGGCCGACTGGATAAAGAACAAGGTCGGGGCAGGAAAAGAGAGGCAACTCTCTGGTCTGCCAGTTTCCAAAGGAGTGGAAAATGAAGTCCTCCAAGAGGTTGGACAGCATCAACGCCATCGCTTTACCCATAATTCCGCTGGACGAGAGCCAGGTGGTCTCCGCCAGCGCCCGGAAAGACCTGGAGAATGCCGTGAGGAAGCAGTTGCAGGACCACCCGCCCAGTATCCTTCTGAAAGCTGCCACCCACTCAGACCAAACACCCCCGACGGAGCCAAACCACCGGGTGGAATGAGCGCTGGCGGTTCACGCGTGTTACCTGTGAGCCCACTCGACCTAACCCTGGGAACTTTTCTGGGAGCGCGTAAGTCCTTTCTGGCCTCTAAAGGAATGTGATGTTTTGAAGGGTGGTTGGACTTGAGGTGTTTCATTTTGTCTGTTTTTCGGAGACAGGGTTTCTCTCTGTAGCTCCGGCTGTCCTGGACTGGTTTTGTTGATCAGGCTGGCCTTGAACTCAGAGATCTGCCTGCCTCTGCCCCCCTGAGTGCTGGGACTAAAGGTGTGCACCACCACAGACACCTGGGTGAGGTTTATTTTCTTTTCAGTAGAAGGAACTCAAAAGAAAGATGCCCAAGTTGTACCTGTTAGAAGAAAGATAACGGGTTTTGGCTTATGTTTTGTTCTGGTTGGCTTTCTTTACTTCTCCCTTCCAAAGAATTAAGGCTGTAGACGTAACAGACAGCAACTACAAAACCCAGGGCTAGCCTGTTCTGACCCCAGGCAGGTGAGCTCACCACCTGGATTCTCCATTTCCTCTGGCTGACATCACCTCTCCTCGCCTGCTAGCCCTCCTCCTAGGACTCTCTGCCCCTCTGGCATCATCCAGGCGCTCCTGCAACTTCCCTCTTTCCGACCCAGTCTCCACTGATCCTCATCTCTCCGTGAACCGTATCCCTGCATCACAAAACCCCGTCTCACAGCCCATCCAGCAAAAATAGCCCTCTCGACTTATAAATAACCCCAGGCTCTAAGCCACGCTACCCCCAGGCATTTTCTGCTCCCTCATTTTCCACATGCCCCTTCCAAACCTTTCCCAAGACGCTGTTTAGTGTGATTCCACCCATCTCAATCTGTAAAGGGTCTTACTTTCTTGCTTGGGTCTCTGTCTAATGCCCTTCTCAACCCCACACTCATCTTTACCTTGTCTAAGTCACATGTCCCTCTTGGTGCCTTCATTCTCCAAGAGCCTTTCCCCATGATAAGTAAGACACGTGAGGGTAACGGAAGGGAGAGGGAGCCGGTTTTATGGGGAAGGAGTGGAGCCTGAGGATTATGAGACTTAGAGCGGCCCTGCCCTGGGAGATCCTCAGCTAAGACACGGAATGCAAAAGGTGAAAAGACGACAGACGGGTTGGACGGATCAGACTCGAAGAGAGGTTCAGCTGAGAGATGGCAAGAACAGGGCGCCCTTCCGGCCCCATCAATCCACACCCGACAATCTCTCCTGAAGAAATACATAGCCCAGGGGCTGGAGAGATGGCTCCAACACTAAGAGCACTCAGAGCTCAGGGTTCGCTTACCAGCACCAACATCATGCTTCTCACAACTCCCGGCACTTGAAAGCACACAGTGCACACACATACGCTCAGGCAGGCACAAGTGTATACGCATACAATGAAAACACCTTGAAAGAATAAGCATTCCAAAGTTTGAGGCCGCTCTCTGTGGTCGTGCTCATCACAGCATTGTTTCTCAGTGCGAGAGGCTGTGAATGGCTTACAGAGCAGCAGCCCGGCAACAGGAGAGCACGCCTAGGTGTGTGTTCTGAGCGGCCCTGTGTGATGTTACTAAAACGATGTTGGGAGTATTCTCCGTCCGTCGGGCAGGTTCTCGCCGAAGAGAGGTCATGGAGGTGAACCAGGCACCCACTGACGCTGTAGTTATGCTTGCACAAAACCCTGGAAGGGCCACACACTTGAGGAAGCGGGATCCTGTCCTCCCCTGTCAAAGCCTGAAACAAACAAAAACCCAGAAGGAACTCTCCCAAGACTCTACCAGAGAGGGTGGACTCAGTGTAAGGATGGCTTTTTCCCCCGTTAGTGTTCTCCAAGGTGATTGCAACACAGGAAACATTTCCTCCTCCTTCTCTTTCTCTTCTTTCTTGTTTGTGTTTGTTCCCTTGTTTTGTTTTTTTCCCTTTGTTTTGTTTGTTTGTTTGTTTGTTTTTCTCCAACAGGATATATACTATAGCCCTGGCTAGCCCAGAGATCACTATGAAGCCCAAGCTGGTCTCAAACCCATAGGAATCCTCCTGCCTCGGCCCTCTAAGTGCCGGGATTACAGATGTGAGTGCTCACACCAGCCCATCGGTTTTTATTAGTAAACTATAAGGTGACTTAGGCAAGATGACAGAGGCTCCTCCACGGTGTGCGGTGTGTGGGCGCCTCCTGGAGTTTCCTTAGCAGCCTGCCTCCCAGCGTGCATCATCGGCTCCCTCAGCCAGGTGAGCCAGAGGGTCACGGAAGCAGACACCAACTACCACCGGATGGACCACACCTTGGTGAGTTGAAACAGATAGGTGGTGGAGCTGAGGCGCGGCCTTTGGGAACGAAGGGCCCTTAAGGAGGGCTGCTGAGGCGTTGCCCTTCGGGCCTTGCCTTCCTCCAAGAGCTTGTCGGCACAGCTGAGGTCTCGAAGCTCACCTTTTTAAGAAGAGCAGACTTTTTAAAAATGCACGTCTGTGTGTGTGTGCGCGTCTCCACACGGCGCACGTATGCCGGCCAAAGAGGGTGCTGGGTGCCCTGGAGCTGGAGTTCTACAGGTGGTTCTGAGTCACGGAGTGTAGAGGATGGGTACCAAACTCAGGGCCTCTGAAAGAGCAGCGAGTGTCCTAACCGCTGGGCCACCTCTCCAGCTCCAGCAAGGCTGCTTCTTAAGAGGAGATTTAAGTTCACAGTGACACGTACCACATGCCCCACCCACACACAGGTATAAACCAGCCCCATCAGCCTCTCCACACCTGAGTTAAAATCAACAAACCCCCCTCTGATGTAGCGTTAACCCTGACCTCCCTAATTTATCTTAGACTTCCCTCTGTAGTCTCTGAGGCTTACTGCCTCCGTCTGTTAATGTAGGCCTAGTCCTGGAAGCTTCTAGCTTCCTTACAATCGAATCTAGACCTCTGAGACTTACTGCTGAATAAATTCACCCTTTCTAGATCTTTCTGAACTCTGGCTGGCTGGTTCAACTCAGCTGTTCTGGCTCAAACTCCTCTCCTAGCTGACTGATTCAAACTGGCTTCTCTCAACTTCTGACTGAATTTCTCTGATTGGCTTCAAACTAGCTCTATCAACCTGCTCTAATCTTCTGGCTCCTACTCATTTTCTCTGGCTCGTTCTGTCTTTATCTGTGTCTAGCTTGTTCTTTCTTCAACATGTCTCTGTAAAACTCTCCTGGTAAAAACTGCTCCCGAATTTCACAAACTGAACTGCCATGTATGCAATTCCACTGCACGGCCATGTACTCAATTCTACCACACTGCTTCTCAGTGGAACTGCCTGAACAGAACTGACCAGAACTCAGAGATCTGCATGCCTCTGTCTCCTGACTGCTGACACGCTTAGACCTAAGCCTGTGTATACCTGAAACTTGTCCTAGACCAGGCTTAGCCTTGAACTCAGAGATCTGTTTCCTGGGGTTAAAGGTGTGTCCATATTCCAGCCAGATCACACAGTCCTAGAAGATCTTTGGATAGAAGGTCTTTGAATGTGATCTCTTGTCAGAGCAGCCATGTTCTGAATAAAAAAAAAAAAAAAATTCCTCTACATGTATCTGCCTCTGCAGTGCCATACAGAATAGCTTCACTGCTCCAGTACTGCTCACAGCCCTTTGTTTCTCCTTACTCCTGACCTCTGCCTGCCAATGGCCCCCTCACTGTCTCTGTAGTAGTCTCATCGCAACTAAAGAATGCAATGACATTGGAATGATGCAATGTAGCTTCTTCACCACGGTGGTTTCACTGAATAATGTGTATTGAAGGCTCTTCTCTGGCTTTTCATGGACAGCCCATTTCTTTTAGCATTTGCTAGCACTCCCGTTACCTGGATGTAGCCCAGTTGGTTGATCTTCTCTCCTCGGGCCATCTTGGCTGCTTCCATGCTTTGGCAACTGAAAATAAAGCCACACATCCCCGTGCAAGCTTTTGTGTCTGTGAGTTTTCAGCTCTTTCGGGAAATGCCAAGAAACACAATTGTTGGATCGTACGGGAAGAGTGTTTAGATCGGAGAGGCTCTAGCAGAGCTTCTTCCACCATCGAGGTCTGAGGTTCCTTTGCTCAGAATTCTCACTAGCACTTGGGGGTGTCAGTGCTCTGAACTCACCATTTGGTAGGCATGTGGTAGGGTCTCACACATTGCTCTGACAACACAGGCGACGTGCCATTATCTCATTGCTTATTCGCCATCTCTTCCTCCTCCTCCTCCTCCTTCTCTTCTTTCATTGTCAACTTGACATCGCGGAGTATCACCTGGGAGACTGGCCTCTGTTGATGCCCGTGGGGAGTTGTTCTGATCATGCAGTTGAGGTGGGGCACCCTGCCCACTGTGCATGGCACCTCCGTGCTGTGTCGACGGGGAAGAGGAACCAGGCATGCATTCAGCACGCTCTGCTTTCACTGGGGAATGCAGCGTGACTGTTGCTTCAGGCACCTGCCGCCTTGAATTCTCTGCCCTGATGGGGCGTCCTCTTGAACTGTGAACTGAAATAGACTTTTTCCCCCGCTTAAGCTACTTCTGTTAAATTATTTCCCCACAGCAACAGGGAGGGATACTAAGACAAGAGGCATCTCTTAGGTCTAAGGTCCATTTTTAAAACTGGGCTATTAGTTCTCTTGTTTTTAGATTTGGATAAATCGTTGGTTGGATATGCCTTTGCAAGTATTCTACCCCAGTGTGTAGCTTGTAATTTCATTGTCTTGGCAGAGTCTTTGGAAGAACAGATGTTTAAATTTTTGATGAAGCCTGACTTAGTACTTCCTCGTTGGCCTTTGGTGTCATGTCTAAAAGGTCAGTCAGTCCCAGGGTCATTCAGGAGCTCTCTTACTTTATCCTCTATGGTTTGAGAGTTTTGTAAGTTCACATTTAGGATAGAAGTCTGTCCTGAGGGGGGTTTTGTGACCTCTGCCATCTCCCCGTGTCTGTTCATCCATGCCGAGCCTTCAGAAGCTCATCAGAAATAGAACGGGGTCTCCAGTGACACCCCAAAGCCGCTGCCTCTGAAATTCTGCTTCAGTGAGTTGATCCCTGTCTCTGTCCACCTTTTCAGTTTGGGGGCAGCCATTTGCTCTGTGTCTTCAGCAGCCACGTGCCCCATGGCTTCGGTCCTCCAGCCGAAGAACTATTGATTTTTCAGTGTGTTCAACCTTTTACTTGCTAGGGCAGAGGGTGGTAACTGCGGGTCTCTTACATGATGGCCTGGGAAGCAGAAGACTGAAGATGAATTTTGTTTCATTTTCAGTAAAATCTAAAGCCCTTCAGCAATTCTTAAGCACACAGAGACACACAAACACCGTGACTCACAGGAGCTCCTCGGTTCGCATGGTCCCAAGCTGCTCCCCCAGAGACCTGCACATATTATGTTTTCCCATTTCACTTTCTTCTTCAGAGACACAAGTCCCAAGATTTTTTAAACCATTTTTCAACATTTATTTATTTAGGTATTTTATGGATATGAGTGTTCTGTCTTTATGTACACATGCACGCCAGAAGAGGGAATCAGATCCCAGTACAGATGGTCATGAGCCACCATGTGGTTGCTGGGAATTGAACTCAGGACCTCTGGAAGAGCAACCAGTGCCCTTAACTGTTGAGCCATCTCTCCAGCCCCAGGACCCCAGTTTTAATGAGAGGGAGGGACTCACACTAGATGCCCCACACCTTGGAGGAGGTGCAGTTCTCTAGGTTCTATGTAGTTCCGGGGACACTCTTCTCTGAGTGTTTTAGGCCCATGGTGTTTTCCTGACAGTGATGGCTGCCTCCCCCTCTTCCTCCCTTCTCCTTCCTCTTCTTCCTCCTTTCATTCTCCTCTTCCTCCTGTTCTTCCTTCCTCCCACCTGCCCTGTTTTTCTCTGTTGCTGCCCCCTGCTTTTTGGTCTGCCTAACCCAGGTCCCTGACCTGTCATTTTATTTTCTCACCCTTCTTTCCACCACAGCATCCTGTTTCTTGCCAAGTGCCTCTGACATTCAGGCCCTGACTTCATGATTTGCCTCCAGAATTTTTCTCCCTGCTCACCCCAGCTTTCCTAGTATCAACTTTTGAGGACTTGATCAGTTCTTTTTTGGGAGGTAGGGCAGGTTGTTTGTTTGGGTTTTTGGTTTTCTGAGACAGGGTTTCTCTGTGTAGCCTTGGCTGTCCTAGACTTGTGTTGTAGACCAGGCTGGTCTCAAAATCATAGCGATCTGCCTGTCTCTGCCTCCCGAGTTCTGGGAAGCCATTATTATTATTATTATTACTATTACTATTGCTATTACTATTATTATTATTATTATTATTATTATTATTATTATTATTATTAAAGGGAGTACCACCTCTGATCTGGGATTGGAATTAAGTTGTGAATAGCAGTAGAATGAAATGATTCTGTGCAAGTGCATATTCATGCAGGGAGGGTCACACGAGGTGTGAGCTTTCCAGTCAGACTGTCAGCCCAAAATTCCTGCCACCGGACAGTTCTCTTGAACTCTGACAGGAGGAAATGATCTCAACATCAGACAGTACCTGACAGTACCCCACCTACCTCAGGGTGTTGACAGGGATGAAATGAGTTGGAACACATGCCTGACCCAGCTAGGGCTTAGAAAGGCACGTTGGTCTCAGCAGGGACAGTGCACAGGGGAGACGTTTGCATACTTCATGCAAACTTAGCTGACAAGCAGTGCATTTCCAGGGCCGATAACGTTCCCACCTCTTTCTCTTTCTAAGGCGAGGGTGGGGGAACGTTGGCAATCAGCAGTGGGCTCTGTTGAAAAGCCAAGGGCATCCTGATCGATAACAACGTTAACCCTTAGTAAGCAGCCCCATTTGACAGCTCTGTGCTGGAGGGTAAAACGCACCGAACGCTTTCTCTCGGGTCCTTCTAGGGACCGCGGAAGGTAGGTATTATTATTCCTTCTTATAGAAAGACTGCGCTGTGTACCTGCAGGCCGCAGTCAGAACCCCGCTCCGTGTTCTATGCTTCTCGGAAGTAGAGCCACGAGGACAGCTTAATGCAAGGGTGCTGGTGTGAGGGCCCATGTCAGTGACATCGATGGCCACAGTCCCCACCATGAGAGGTTCCTGGCTGCATATTTTGCTCCAGGCCTTTGGATGTCCCGGGGCCCTGCCCTTTCCCCTGGATTTGCACCAGTCTCTAATGCCCTATGTTTTTTTTTTTTTTTTTTTTTTCTTCTTCTTCTTCTTCTGGTTTTTGAAGGCAATTGAGGATTATGAGTTGGAGAAGAAGTCTATAAAAGAGAGAACTCACAGCAGCCCCGGAGACAGAGGCAAAAATCCTTTCTCAGCCTGAAACGTATTTTTGTGGGGTTTGATTTCTTTCTTTCTTTCTTCCCTCCTCCTCCTCCTCTTCCTCCTCTTCCTCCTCCTTTTCTTTAGTTTAGATGTTCTTTAGCTGTGTATCTTTTGCTGTGCTGGGCGTGGGTCCCATGGCCTTGCACATGCTCTGCTACTGATGTGGACCCCAGGGATTTTTTTTTTTAAATCGTTGAAATTCAGTTGAGTAGGAGCCCAGCGTTCTACCTGAGATAGTTTTCGTCCTCTTCCGTAGTAGCTTTCCATCAGACTTGACACTGGACAAGGAAGGCCGGAGGGACAGGATCACACAGGCGCTGTCTGCTGGGCGGCACATCACACCAGCATCTTTGGTCCCTGTCCCTTCCCTTCATAAGGCCCCACCTGGTGGTGCCCCCCAGATATCCATGAGACGAGAGAGTCCTGCTGGGGAGAGGAACCTGCCTAGCACGCAGTGTCTGGTCTTCCCGGCCGTTGCTAGCCAGAGAGGCCTGTCATCCAGCAGCTCTCTCCTGCAGCCTTAGCTCCCAGTAGCGGGCACAACCAGCACCCCTCACTTCTAACTTCTCCATTTTCTCAGCCAAGAGACCGAAGGAAGAGCCAACAATACCCTGCAAAGGCTCAGAGGCCCGCAACCCCAGGGTGAACCTGACCAAAAGAGTAAGCACAGCACTTCTTTCCTTTTCTGGATTGATTGATTTGTTATGTAGACAATCTTCTGCCTGCATGTACACCGGCACGCCAGAAGAGGGCACCAGATCTCGTTCTAGATGGTTGTGAGCCACCATGTGGTCGCTGGAAATTGAACTCAGGACCTGGAAATACAGCCAGTGCTCCTAACCCCTGAGCCATCTCTCCAGCCCCTTTCCCAGCGGTTTCTGCCATGTACAAAATGGACTTCATTTCTTGGGAGGGAAGACCCCGGTGCCTGGATAGTGATTCAGACAGAAAGCGCGGGGTTCACTTTTAAGATCCGGCAGCCCTTTAATTCTAGAATTGCTTTTGTCTGTCACTCTGACCCCAGACTTGGGGTCTCAGAGCCCTGTGCCTGTTACTGTTAGAAACAGAGTCCTCCTGTCTCACTGAGATGGTGCCACACAGCTTCACGGGCCTTTTCTACACAGCATTTCACTCTCCAGCCAGGCTAGTTCTGGCGCTCACTGCAGGCCTGCCGGGAAGCTGACATGACTATCTGGGGTCACGCAGGATGCCAGAGGAGAGGCACAGCTTTCCACTCAGTTTTCAGACCTAAGCCCAGCCCTTATTCCCCCCCCCCCTCCCCGCCAACAAGACCTACCTCATAGTCTTCCCTGTCGAGATTCACAACCACAAGCTGGGGCGGGGGCCCAGGGGTAGAGTGCTTGCTAGCATGCACAAAGCCCTGGGTTCTGTCTCCAGCATTGCAAAAAGAATTTTTTTTAACTTCAGTAAGAACCCCCCAAAGCTGGCTGTTTATACCATCCAGATAGCCCGTGCCCAAAGCCTTAGGAAACAGTGAATTGCTGCTGTTTTTGAAAAAATTTGATTAAGTTATTGTGTGTGTATTGGAGTGTGTGTGGGTGTGAGTGCACATACCATGGCACACATGTGGAGGTCTGAGGACAACTTGCAGAAGTCAGTTCCCTCTTTATTTCTTTTTAAAAGAGATTTCTTTATTTCATGGATGAGTGCTCTATCTGCATGTACCCCTGCAGGCCAGAAGAGGGCACCAGATCTCATTCTAGATGGTTGTGAATCACCATCTGGTTGCTGGGAATTGAGCTCAGTCTCTCTCTCTCTCTCTCTCTGTCTCTGTCTCTGTCTCTGTCTCTCTCTCTCATATCTTGTGAGCCCCAGGGACTGAACTCTGGTCGGGCAGCTGGCGTCTTTACTCGCTGAGCCGTCTTGATGACCCCATTTACATCGCCCCTCGTTTTCTGTCTATGAAACTGTCGCCCTGTCATTACAGAGAAGGGGAAAGAAGGCACACTATTGCTTTAAACTGTGGACACGATGGAGCCCATTTCCATAAATGCCTTTTTTTTTTTTCTTTTTCTTTTGCTTCAGCAAACAGCAGATAAGAATCTGCTGGCAGAGCGACATGAACACCCCCCGTTTGATGAGACTAAGCCCAACAAACTTCCCAACGGCGTGGCCTTCTGCGACATGGTGGGCAATGTGATCCGGTCTGAGAAAAACACTCTAAGTGGCAAGGTAAGGGAGAGAGCAGAGAGCGGGTCCCACCGTAGGCCAGCTCTGCGCTGACCGTGCAGGCAATGTGTGAGGAGGTGAGAGGACACTTTGGGGGAGGAGTGGGACCCAGCCCATCAGTATTGGCAACGATACTTTTACCTGCTGAGCCATCTTGCCAGCCCTGCAAGTACGTTCTGATCACGTGCCCCAGGAAAGAAGCTGTAGCTTGTGCCTTTACGGCTGCTGGTCTGTTTTCAGGCTGGATGCTATTCGGTCGCCTGCTCCGTGGCGCTTCAGTAAGCCTGACTTCTATTACTTTCCAGTCAAGACCACTGTGGTTTGGATGTGAAGTGTCCCCACAGCGAGGCCCACGTGTTAATGGCTTGTCCCCTAACGTAGTGTTCAGGGGTAGGGCTTTGGGGGAAGTGGTTGGCCACGAGGGCTCTGCCTTCCTCATCATTGCATTGATTGGTTCCTGGTCTGATGGGGTTAACTGGGCATTAAACCAGCTGCTTTTCTCGTTGCTGTGACAAAATACCCAGCTGAGACAACTCAAGGAAAGAAAGCTTTGTTCCGGCTCATGGTTTTAGAGAGCTGAGTGGCTCTGTCCCCGTCTATGCCGGTGGGAGGCAGCGGCTGCTGGTTTACATGGCAGTAGACAGGAAACGGGGCAGAGCCACAGACCCAAACTAGGATTGGACTCGGCACCTTGAGAACTGTGCTTTGGAGGGGACAGTGATGATGCCCACAGATGGTACATGCATAGGTGAGGCGATGCCAGAGGCAGGCGATAACTGTGTGGAGGTCCTGCAGAAGGAAGCTGCTCTTGGTGACCGGATAGCGGGGCCGTCGCATCTTTTATGGTCGCCTCATCTCTGTCCCCCACGCAGCTCTCGGGTCATTGTTTCATTAGCACTTGAACAGTCACCCCTCCATTCCTGAGACTCACAGGTCAGCCGTACTTACCGCTTCGCCTCGCTTTTCTCCCTGCAGCCATCTCCCCGACTCTACTTACTGTTCTACTGTTCTTCCCTTCTTTTCTTTTCCTCCCTTCTCCTCTTCCATCTCTTCCTGGCTCCTTTCTGATGCCCAGCTGTCAGTCCCATCTGAGTGAGATGAAGATGAAGGTGTGTGATCCAGTGGCAGACACACAGGCAGCATTCAATTAAATATAATATAATATAATATAATATAATATAATATAATATAATATCATATCATATCATATCATATCATATCATATCATATCATATCAT